AGTAAAAATTTTTATCTAAGGAAAACCAGTTGATTGCATCGATTCGAAGGCAATCACTCACACTAAGCATGCTTGTAGCGACATTGGAGAGTAAAAACTCCCTTTTAATAGAAAGAGACCTCCAGCAGAACCAGGCTCTGTGTGAGCGGCCATCTGCTGAGGCCGACTGGGGTTCAAGGAGGCAGAAGCACAGATACAAAAGGCAACTTTAAAAGGCGGCCCCGTCCAGGAAAAAAACAGCCAGGCAGACGAGCTTTGAGCCCGCTCTCATGTCAGAGGATGAAGAGAGCACATCCAACCAGTCACAGTTAGAGAAACAGGACTACACTGAAAAACAAGCCAATCTCCAACATCAGTAAACAAAGGTGTTGATGGCAGCAGCACAGCTGATATTTCTCTCCAGGATGGAGTCACAGCCAAACAGGAACAGATGAGGCGAAGCTACTATATCTAAGCCTATAGCAGCATAACTATAGATATAGTTCAGGATATACCTGAGCCACTCTAACTGTAAGCTTTTTCAAAAAGTAGACAGGGAGTCTGCCTCATGGACTAAAACTGGAATTTGGTTCCACAGGAGAGGAGCCTGATAACTAAAAGACCTGCCTCTCATTCTACTTTTAGAAATTTTAGGAACCACTAACTAGTTAACCTGCAGGTGGGAGTGTAGTGCTCTGTTAGGAACAACCAGATCTCTGATACAAGGTGAGCCTTGGCCATTTAAGAATTTATATGTGAGAAGGAGGATTTAAAATAATATTCTGGATTTAACAGGACACAAATAAAGAGAAGCTAGGATAAGAGAGATATAATCTCTCTTTTTAATTTTCATCAAAACTCTGGCTGCAGCATTTTGAAAGGCTTTTAACTACAGTTTGTGGACTTACTGATAGATAAGAATTACAATAGTCCAGCCTTGAAGTAACAAATACATCACACAGTATTAATGTATCTAATAAATACACAAAAACTAAACATTGCTGAAAATATGCAAAAGTAAATAAAAGCAAAAAAAAAGGAGAAAATGGGTTTTGAGATTCCATTCAAGAGTCTCTGAGCAATGTTCAAGCTTTAAGGCTTAATGCATTCAACCTGTCTTTTAAAACAGCAGCAGATAAATGTAAAGAACCCTGATGCAGTGATTTTAAATGCAATCAAAACAGTGAAGTTTTGCCTGGTTTTATCATTGAAAAATGACTCTGGGATGCACTAAAACATTGTTAGGAATCCAGTTTGTGTGGCCTGTTTGTGTGTTTCC